GTAGGCCCTCAGACAGACTCCAGGTTGACTCATCTCTTGGCCTTGTGGGCCTTAACTTCCTACACCTAGTACCTAGTAATAGGGGACCCAGAGTCTGAACTGGCCATCTTCTGTAGCTATGCAAGGTTCCAGTCGTAGGACCGGATTGCATTAGGCAAAGGAGGTCCCATGGAGACCCCTAAATAACCCACACTGATGTCGACAGAAGGCCACGCTCTGAAAACTGAAAGTGGGGCCCTATTGCTGAGGGAGCATCCACACATCTCATTAAACTCAGGTTGAGCTGCTGCAGACGTGGCACCTTCACCCCTACATTCCAGGATCTTTGCTGTGGGAAGGTACTCTGCAGGCTGCCAAAAGGGAAACCTGAAAACCAACCCAGTCGCAAAATCTTCCAGGTACAATCTGTCCTGCCTGCAAAATGTGTTACAGAACTTGTGGAGTGGCCAACCAATGTTTAGTTTAACTTTAAGCCCAGGCCATGAGAGGGAGCCCATGCCCTAGACAGCCTGGATGGCCAGGAACAAAAGACTGGATAGACCAAAAGCCTAGGGTAGAAGCAAATACAACTGGGGAAAAAATCAATGAAATGATTCCTAACAATATTCTGCTATACTAGTAGATCAGTGCCTCACCCAATTGACATAAGAGAAGCTTTCCCCAGCAGCAGATTTGGGTGGGTGCAGAGATTCATAGCCAGACATTATATATGCAGAAAGAGTCTAAATTGGAGGTCGCCACCAGGTTCCTTTCCTAGGAGATCTGGAAACCCTGGTGGAAGAGGAGGAGGAAAGACTGTAGGAGTCAGAGGGGATGGAGGACACCCGGAGAACACAGCCCACTGAATCAACTGAGCAGGGCTCACATGGGCTCCCAGAGACCAAAGCAGCAATCACAGGGCCTGCTTGAGTCTGCCACAGGTTCTCCAGTTATGTTATGGCTCTTAGTTTGGTGTTTATGTGGAACTCCTGGCAGTAGAAGTGCATGTATCTCTGACTTTTAGGCCTACTTTTGAGACTCCTTTCCTCCTATTGGGTTGCCCTGTCCAGTCTCAATACGAGGGGCTTTGTCCTGTCTTATTGTATCTTATTTTGTCCTGTTTGGCTGTTATCTCTTGGAGGTCATCTCCTTACTGAAGAATAAATAGAGGGGGAGTGGATCTGGGGGAAAGGAGAGGTGAGGGGGTGCTGAGAGGGGTGGAGAGAGGGGAAACTGTGGTCAGAGTATACTGTAAGAGAGAAGAATCTAAGAATCAATTAAAAAGATAAATATAAAAAAGCAAAAGAGGGGAATAAAAAAATAAGGTATGTTTAAAACAAAAACTGGGAACTGGAGTAACACCTGAGCAGGTAAGTAATACTGTCTGCTCTTGGGGAGGACCCAGGCTGGGTTCCCCAAATCCACATGGCAGCTGACAAGAGTCAGTAACTCCAGATCCACGGGATCCACCGCCCCCTTCTGGCATCTGAGGGTACTGCATGCACACGTCACATAGACTTACATGGAAGCAAAGAACTCATTCATGAAAAAATGGAAATAAATCTTTTTAAAGAGCTTTTCAGAAAAGAATAGTGAAAAGAAAAACGCTACAAAGTGACTGTAATTGAATCTATAACGACAAGGTCAGTGTGGAAGAGCTACATTATTCTATTCTAATAAAGGACAAAAATACATCTCAACTGAAGGGCATAAAGCACAATTAGTTAATAAGTGATGCTGGCACAACTGGCTACCCACCTGGTAGAAAATGGTTCTTTCACTAAAAATATGAATAAAAAAAGAATTCCATATGGAGTAAATGCTTAAATATAATAAATAAAGCATCAAAAGTTAAGGAGAAAAAACCTAGGACACAGCACAACATGCTACTCAATGAGAAAAAAAAGGACCACATTTGAGTTTATAAAAGTTAAAAATAATTTATGTTGCAAAAGCTATTATAGACAAAGTTAATAGCTACCTCTATGGGCTGTATCCAGTATACCAAAAGGCCCTCAATGTTGGTGAGAGACTATTAAACAATGGGAAAATGGGGTTTGTGAGAACAATCTGTGTAGCCAGAGGCACGATACTGCTCCAGCTAATTACTAATTAGAGAAATGTAACCAATGTAAATAATAACTTAGCATTTAGCATTCACACTGGCCTGCCCTGGGGACCAAGTGACAGCAGCCAAGGTGTGACCCATGGCCGCTCCCTCCAGAAGTCATGCGCTCTCCCCATGTGCATGCACTGTGTGCCCTTATAAAGAGCACTGCCTTCTCTCCCAGCCCCTTCCTTCCACTCTCGCTCAGAGGCTGCCTCTGCCCCACCCCCATAAGCCTCTCTCATCCACCCCTTGGCTCCAACCCACTAACGCACCTTTTGCCATTAAATTATTAAAATACACTACACTGCTAATTAGATAAAAAAATAAAACAATAAAAGCAATTGCTACCAGAATGAAGAGGGCAAGTGCATATTTCTACATCTAATTTTGAAAGCAGTCCACTGCGCTTTGATTGAGGAATGTCTCCCATAGTCCTCAGTGGGTGGCTATGCTCAGGAGATGGATCTTGAAGGAGGGTTACATCAGCAGGGGTGGACACGAGGTCACAGAGCTTGGCCGACTTCCCACTCTCTTTACTTCTGACTACTGAAGAAGGAGTCTGACTTGTCCTCGGTCCTGCTCCCGTGCCTCCCCGGCACATGGTCTGTGTACCCTCTGGGACTTCAAGCCAAAGCAAGCCCTGTCTCCTGTAAGCTGCTTTGTTGGCCCTTTATGCAACAGAAATGAAACCACTACAGAGCCTAGTGAACGCTTTTCCATCAAACACACCTCAACAAACCACACTCCTGGGAATCCACCCCCTAAAAACAAAATTAAAAGACCAATCCAAGGCTGATGGCAGCATCCTCCAACTGTAAAGAGCAAGTAACAAAAACAAGCATTGGAAGCAATGAGGAAATAAATAATGGCACACATTATTATTATTAGAGCAGCCATGAAGAAGAAAATACACCATTTGGCTCTCAAGAGTTTTCTGAGAAGCATCTTAAGTGACAAAATGTGATATAGGAAACTATGGTTTTATTTTTAAAATCCAAATCCTGTTCAAAAATCATTAATGTGCATGTGCCAAATTATGTCTGCTTTGCCATTCTGTCTGTCTGTGTGGTGGTAAGGAGCAGAGACACAGCACAGGAGGTTGCACGCCAGCTTGCTGGCAGACTTCACTTAGGTGAGACAACGTATGAAATCCATGCTCCCCTGAGGACGAGAAGTACAACACGACTGACTTGAACTCCCGCCCCTCATAGTCTCCGCTCTTAATGGTTAATTGTTAACTCACATTTTGTATGAGATCACTTTTAGACCCACTTTTCAAGTTGGTGGCTGTGGGGTTTTAGTTTAAATGAGAAAGGCCCCTAGAGGCTCATGTATTTGCATGTTTAGTCCTCAGTGGAACAAAGGAGGATGAGAAGGCAGAGACGGAGCGGAGTGGAGCGGCCTTGTTGGAGGAAGACTGACAGTGCGGGTGGGCGCCGAGGTTCCCACCGCTCATGCCAGGCGAGTGGCTCTCCATCTGCTGCCCGTAGAGCAGGATGCAGATGTCAGCTACTTCTCCAGCACCATCTGCCTTCTCCCCCATCAACCTCTGAAACTGTAAGAGTGCCCCCACTTAAATGTTTCCATTTGTAAGAGTTACTCTGGGCCTGGTGTCTTTTCACAGTAGAACACTAATGAAGAAAGAGTGCACAATTTTACAGATAAATGTAAATACACAGCTATATACAAGTAAATTATAAAACTAAGAATTCATTCATTATAAACTTACTGACTGTAGAAATGCCTGTCAAATGAAAACATATTATTGAAAATGTGCCAGAGTTCCAGTGGGTAATAATCAATGGGATGTTAATTATAATATCTATTTCAGGAGACTAGAGAGATGGCTCAGTGGTTAGGAACACTGGCCATTCTTCCAGAAGAATCAGATTCAATTCCCAGAACTTACGTGGAGGGTCACAACCATGCATAACTCCAGTTCCGGGAGACCTGCTCCCTCCTTGGAATCTTTGGACAGCAGGAATGCACATGATGTACAGACATACCTTCGTACAAAACACGCATCCACATACAATAATAACTTTTAGTGTACACATTGTGGAAAAGAGGTAGCTGTTGGAGGTTGGGACAGGCTCCATTCAGGAGACGGAAAGAGGAAAGACTCTACCTTCTGTTTTCAAGCTTATTACAACAACAACAAAAAAATATTACTTTTGGAGTGTGAAAACAGTAAAAAAAAAAGATAATTTATAATTAAAATGTGATTTAGTATCTAATTCATAGGCTGTGTTAAAAAGACTATATATAATATTTCATGCAATGTGTTAGTTCATCCCTGACGTGTTGCAAATGCTCAATGAAAGTCAGTTATGCTGTTTTAAAAAGTAAGTATTCTAGACAGCAGTGGGAACTGTGGCGCTGGAAAGTCAAAGCCTTTGAAAATGGTACCATGCAGACTGGGCACTGTCACCTCACTGTGGAGTCCCCTCCTTTAGACTGTGAAGGCTTGTACTGTGGTAACAATCCCATTCATTAAACAATTCTGCCATTGTAAAACTAAAACTACAATTAGGTAAATATACTATTACGGAAAGGAGATGGCGATCCTTTTGCCTTAAAGTCAACATTAAGAATGTCAGGAATCATCTTACAGGCATTGCTCTCCATCCCAATACTTGAAAAGATAAATACTTGGGACCTGGACATGGACTCCATGTTGGGGAGACTTGAGAGGACAGACTGAAAAGAAGTGTCACAGCTCTTGAACCCTGCCCAAGAGGAAAGTTTATTCCCAACAGAGAAATGCCACTCTGACTGTGGCCTACCAACCGCAGCCTTGTTATAATTCACGAGAACAGAATCTGGCCATTGGAACCACTATTTTCCAATGAAACATCAAAATAGCAGAACAGCTTCATAAGTGTTGCTGATTGTTGGTCTTACTACTCACATGGAATTCACCTTTTCTTCGGGACCTTGCACTTGACCTGTCACGGTGCCCTTGCTTGTGTTCTTCACCCAGCCAACCACTCCTATTTTCTTAGCTTCTCCTTCTGTGTACTGGTTTCAGAAAACAAACAAAACAAGAGAGGTTGAGTGCGTCACTAGAAGTGCGTACCTAAACAAACAACTCTAATATTCAGAAACCGCTCACCTGACATCATTGGTTTCTAAAACATAGTCTTTGGGACTGCAGAGATAGCTCTGTGGTTAAAGCATCTACTGCTCTTGCAGAGGACTGGGGTTCAATTCCCAGCACACACGTGGATGCTTATAACCATCTATAACTCTGGTTCCAGGAGATCCAATGCCCTATCTGGCCTCTGTGGGTACTAAATATGCAAGTGGTACACAGACATACATGCAGGCAGAACACGCATACATATAAAATACAGTCTATGTACTTGCATAGCGGACCTATGATCCCACCACTATTTGTAAGATCGGTGCAATTGGAGAAAATAGACCAACAGTGAGAACTGCTTCAATAGTTTCTACTACATACAATTTAATTGCTTTTCCTCACATCCATCAATGATCATTTACATTGTTAATCTGGGCTTCATAGACTGATGAACCCAGGATTCTCGATCACTGATTTAAAAGTTTGTGATCAACATAAAATACGTACAGGCAGGAACAGATACTGAATCATTTCTAAAATCCCAATAAAACAGACATAATTTTACTAATAAAATCAAACCAGCAAGAACACTGGCCTAGAAACAGTGGTCCGGAGGCTAGTGCATAGTTAGATGGTTCTGGTACAGCTGGCTATGAACAAATTCAGGAGCTAGACTGAAAAATCAAGAACACAGAGAAAATTGGGGCAATAAACTCTTAAGGACAAAGTTATCCAAAATACAGAGGGGCTTGACTGATGGGGACCTGGTGGGACTCGTGGAATCAGCAACCAGAAACCTAAAATAGTGATGGCCAATTCAGAGAGTAGGTAAAAATACAAACTACAGTTAACAGTACATAGTACGCTTGGAATTCATAGGAGTTCCATAAATAATAAGACATAGGAAACATGTAAGAAAACCTTAAAGACAGTTTTAATAGAAATCACAATCAATAATTTTAAGAAAAATCATCAGCTGCCAAGAACAGGATATAAGCTGTAGGTTAGAAATGGGTGGGAAATGTTTCTATGATTAAAATCAATAGTTTAAAAAAAGGTATAAAAATAAAAGACAGGTCTCACTTACCATTCTGAAGCAAACACCTGGATGAAAGAAGAACAAAAAGAAATGTCAGCTTGTCTGCCTTTTATAAACTGCACATCGTGTATTAAAGGGTGAGTCACAAAATGAATCAAAACTCAGATCTGAATGTACTCAAAGGGTCTTCTTGAAAATTATTTTCTTTTAAAATGAAGACTTTTTGGGAAAAACACAATATTTGAAACTAACGTAAATAACAAAATGTTGAATTACACAGGCAGTGGTGGCGCCTTTAATCCCAGTAGTTGGGAGGCAGAAGCAAGCGGATCTCTATGAGTTCAAGGCCAGCCTGGCCTAGAAGCGCTAGTTCCAGCCAACAGCTAGGACTGTTACACAGAGAAACCCTGTCTTGAAAAACCAAATAATAGTAATAATAATATTTTAAAATGTTTATTAAAAACACAGTTGATCTGGGGATACAGACCCATAATCCTGACTACTTTGTTGAAATATGGATGCAGCTGGGCTGCGTTCCCAACACCCCGGCCGCTTGGCTAGCTCATGCCCGAAATAACAACACACAAACTGTATTCATTTAACTGCTTGACCCATTTCTATCTAGCCTCTTCTAGGCTAATTCTCACATATTAATTTAGCCCATTTCTAATCATCTGTGTAAGCACCCCAAGGTGCACTTACCGGGAAGATTCTAGCCTTCGTCCATCCTGGGAGAGTGTAGCATGGCGTCTCTGCTCCAGAGCAGAGCTGTCGAGTCTCTCTGGGAGCAGAGCAGAGTCTGACCTCACTTCCTCTTCCGCCCAGAATTCTATTCTGTTTACTCCTCCCACCAATGCTTTAACCTATGAGGCCAAGCAGTGTGTTTATTACTTAATCAATGAAATCAACAGATTGATATATGACACTCCCACATCACTACTTAAGAGACTGAGGCAGAGGAATAACGAGTTTAAGTTCAGTGTAGGCCACATAGAAAATTCAAGACCCACCTGGGCAACTTTGCCTCAAAATAATAAGAATGGGGAGGAGGTTGTCTATGCATGCAGGCCAATGGTACATTTGCTTAGCATGTATGACATCCTAGACAGTCCCTAGTCCCCCAAAAACTGAATGAATGAACTGCTGAGAGTAGTTGACATAAAATGAAACTATCCTCAGCTTTTAGAATTTCTTTTCTAATGCAAGAACTAAATTCAAATTTAAATTGTTTCTAGATATAGCCAGAACCAATGAGGCAAAGCCAGCATCAGGAAATGGCATGTGTTTGACCACTGCTGGGCTTCCAGAGCCTCGTCTTTAATGAAGATCAGTGCCAAGGAAAACGACCCTGGAAGCCTTCTGGTGTAGCACAAGCTGGGCATACTGTGGGTCACATATGTGGGGCAGTACTGTTTGTGTTGGTTATGGGTTCTCTCTCTGGACTGAGGCAGACCAAGCTGTTCTGTATTAATCACGACCAAGCTGTCACACACTTCAGTTATCCAACTTCAAGCTGTGTGAGCTTCATCTCAGACAGAAGTCAAGGATGCCAGGGTTTGGGGATGTGGATCAATGGCAGGGCACTTGTGTAGCATGCATGAGACCCTTGGTAAGATCTTCAGTGCACAAAGGTGCACTCATAGAGATAAAGAAATGCACACATCCCCACAAGGAATGCTATTAACATTATATCCTGTGTTGTCTATAACCAGACACTGATACATAAAGTACTGGGTTCCCTAATGGAAGTAAGACAAGAAGCTAGCTAGTTCCAAACTATCAGGAATATATCCCGGAGACCTGGGCCCACTGGAGAAAGCCTAGGAATTATGATGATCCTAAACAACAGACCTCAGGTCATTCCCCAAAACTGCAAATCAGAAGATTCTTGATCATAAAGAATACATAGAAGAGAACCAGATCCTATGACCTTTACATGTATACCATGGCATGTACAGCTATAAAATAAGTAAATGTAAGTCTTCTCATTTTTAAAAGGACCAGCGTGAATTAGAAGTACAAAGTCCTGTGCGCGTGCGCACACACACACACACACACACACACACACACACATCACCAACACCACCACAATAGGTGCACATAATGGAATATTACTCATCAGTGAAAAAACACAAAAAACACACACACACAACCTTAGGAACTACGTATATGAACCAAATGCAGTGCGCTAAGCAAAAGAAGCTAAACTCATACATTATGTATAAATACACTCTATAAAGGCAAAGCTATAGAGACTGAAAATAGATTGTCTGTTGCCAAGGCCTGAGAGGGAAGCAAGTGTTAGCAGGAGGCTCAAGGGAACTTTCTGGGGTGATGGGTGCTCTCTGAACTGTGCTGGTGATCCCATGGCCCCATACATGCCAAAACAAACTGAATGTAAGACAGCAGAAATATTAGCAGTTGTGAATTATACCTTGGTGGAAAACAACTGTTGAAATATGAAGCGGTGCGGGGCTGCGTCCCCAACACCCCGGCCGCTTGGCTAGCTCATGCCCGAAATAACAGCACACAAACTGTATTCATTTAAGAACTGCTTGGCCCATGAACTCTAACCCTTACAGGCTAATTCTCGCACCTGGACTAGCCCATTTCTAATGATGTGTGTAAGCACCCCAAGGTGCGCTTACCGGGAAGATTCTAGCCTACATCCATCCGGGATTGGAGGAGCTTCATTGCGTGCATCTGCCTGGGAGAGCTGAGCATGGCGTCTCTGCTCCAGCAGAGCTGTCGGGTCTCTCCGGGAGCAGAGCAGAGTCTGACCTCACTTCCTCTTCCGCCCAGAATTCTATTCTGTTTACTCCTCCCATCTATGTTCTAAGCTGAGGCCAAGCAGTTGGTTTATTATAACTTAACCAATGAAATCAACAGATTGATATATGACACTCCCACATCACTTCCCCTTTTTCTGTTTAAACAAAAAAAAAAAAGGCTTTAACTTAACATCCAAAGCTCTAGAAATGACAGAGACATCTCGCTGCCTGGACAGTCACCCAAAGTTCCTCTGTACCGTTGGGGCATCCATCTTCGGCCTACAGGCCCATAGTTTCCAGCAGACATTTCCACAAAGCAGGAAATTTCAAAGGCAGTCACTATCTGCTTGTCCTGAAGAATGTCTTGCAGACTCTTTCATGAATCAGGAACCCCGAAAGATCATCTCACCTTTAGGCAAGTTCAGCAGTCCTCTCTCTGCGGGTTCTCTGTGTCCAGTTTATGCAATAGTCCAGGCAAGAGCAGTTTCTTGCCCAAATGGCTATCAAACTCCATAAGGATCCTCTTCGATGCCCATCTTCCTCTTGAAGTAGATTGGTGCTGCCAGGAGCAGAGTGTCTCATTGTCATGAAAAGTCCTAAGTTATTAAAACATTTAAAATGCCATATTCTATAATCTTTGAAAAATATGAAGAATGCCTATCTAAAATATATCTATGCACATCTAGAAAATCTTAACTAACATGACTACAAACTTAACTATTATTAATGATTATTCATTAACAACCTATATACATTACAAAATTAACCTTAAATTTAAATCACTAAAGCAAAATCCATATCAATGTAAATTATTCATACCTATATCATCTCCCCCTTTAAATGTAAAAGAACATTTATAAACAATATTTGGGAATATGGGCGCAGTTTTTTCTCTCCAAACTGCTTCCTGCTGAATGGGGGCGTCGTTAATTAGGTCTTTCATGGTATAACCTGTGTGCTAGTTTCATCTCAGTTGGCAGTTGAGCGAAGCAATTTTCTGAAGGTATTCACAGCAACCGTTCAGGAGGGCGTGGTCCATCATACCATATCGGAATAGAAGAAATGAACAGGGTCTCATCCTCTGTGAAAACAAAATAAGAAACTCCTTTCCAAAGTATCATGTCCTTAGATCCAAATTTCAAAGTCAAGGCATCAAAATCTCTACGATGGATTAGTTCAGCAGCATTTATAAACAAATATCTTTTAGCAGCTGTTGCTCCTTCCTCAGCATTCAAACAATTCAAAGAGAGCATAATAGTATACAGTATCAAGATTCTCTGTGTATTTTCCATCTTTGTACGCTTTATTTTAACCTCTATTTCGTTTATTTTTACTTTTATTTTATATTCTCTGTATCTTTTTGACCTGGAATAACTCTGTAGACCAGGCTCTCCTTGAACTCTCAGAGATCCGCCTGTCTCTGCCTCCCAGGCATTGGGATTAAAGGTGTTTGCTACCACACCTTGAACTCACAGAGATCTGTTTGTCTCTGCCTTCTAGGCACTGGGATTAAAGGCGTGTGCTACCACACCTTGAAGTCACAGAGGTCAATCTCCCTCTGCCTCCCAAGTGTTGGGATTAAAGGCGTGTACTACCACACACAACTTCTCTTTTTCTTACTTTTTTTTTAAAACTTTTAACTTTTAGCTTGCATATATTTTTAACACACTGTAAATCATTTAAACATTTTCTTTATCTTTGAATCTCTTTACTGTATATCTCTCTTTTTCTGACCACACGAGCCTTTAAATTACTGAGCAATATGAGTAGGATTAAAGCCGTGGCTTTGCCAGCTAGATCCAGTCCATTCCTTAGCTTTCCAGCCTCATGGCTGAGGTACCGGTTGTAGCCATGTTTACTGCCACAACTCTATGGCATTTCAAGGTCCCTGCCAGCAAGCGAGCTTCAGCAGCCTGTGCTTGCAAACCACACGAACCGCCTGCGTAAAAGAGTCAGAGTTTGCCGTGGCAGGACAGCCCAGAAAGCCGGCATTTTTAAACGGCACAGCTTTTTTCCTGCTACAGCTGAAAATCGAAAAGCATGCGTTCAGCTTTTCGTCAACACCATTTAAGTGTTTTGTGGCAGGACCTCTTAATGAGCTGCAGGGTTTTGCAGCTGAAGCTGAGTCAGGAAGCCTCTCTTAGATGAGAGTGCTTGCTTGCTTCTAACAAGCAGAGGAGACCCGAGAAACTGCTGCTACCAAGAAAACATGCTTTACTCTTTCCCAAGCTTTTTCAGGCTTTCTGTGGATTCAGTTGTCCACACGTCTGGGCGCCATCTGTTGAAATAGGAGCGGCGGGGCTGCGTCCCCAACACCCCAGCCGCTTGGCTAGCTCATGCCCGAAATAACAACACACAAACTGTATTCATTTAAAGAACTGCTTGGCCCATGAACTCTAGCCCTTACAGACTAATTCTCGCACCTGGACTAGCCCATTTCTAATAATGTGTGTAAGCACCCCAAGGTGCGCTTACCGGGAAGATTCTAGCCTACATCCATCCGGGATTGGAGGAGCTTCATTGCGTGCATCTGCCTGGGAGAGCTGAGCACGGCGTCTCTGCTCCAGCAGAGCTGTCGGGTCTCTCTGGGAGCAGAGCAGAGTCTGACCTCACTTCCTCTTCCGCCCAGAATTCTATTCTGTTTACTCCTCCCATCTATGTTCTAAGCTGAGGCCAAGCAGTTGGTTTATTATAACTTAACCAATGAAATCAACAGATTGATATATGACACTCCCACATCAAACAACCAGGAAAAAAACTCATTGGAAAGTCACAGGGAACAGATCAAACCAACCTCCAAGGAGGTCAAAAGACACTGTTTGCACACAGAAGTTGTCCCTGTGTAGGGGCATGTGAAGGCTCCATAGTTAGGGTGTTTTATAGCGTTGCGGTGTTTCCTGGTGGCAGTATCCTGTGGAATCAAATGAATAGGAACAAAAAGAGCAGTAAGGAAATAAAGACAGTGTAATCTCACCAGTGAAATTTTATGAGATGATAGAAATATTTTTGACAAGCATGTAGAGTGTGGAGGGATGAGGAGTGGGAGAACTGATGGAAAAACAACCAGAGAGTAATCAATTACCTACGGAGGGAAAGCCATCCGTCTGTGCATAGAAACAGCAGAGAGTAATCTATTACCTACGGAGGGAAAGCCATCCGTCTGTGCATAGAAACAGCAGAAAGCCATACAGGTGGCTTCTACCACACAGGAAGGGGCTCGGAACACAGTCATACCGACCAACCACACAGTCTGACGGCTCCAGGCTGAACAGACTTCCTCTGGGCTACTCAACCTCAACAACCCATGCACAAGCAAGGGAGAGGAAAGGCCATAGGCAACTGGAGTAAAAAGGCACTAGAGGGCTGGGGTGTAGCCCGGGGACAGAGCACAGGGCCCCAAGTTCAAGCCTCAGCATCACAAAGAGGGGAATAAAAAGGAGGACAGATCTCTTCCTTACTTGGATGAACGTCCACAAACCATCGGTCACTGGAAGTTTCCTCAGACCTCATCTCAGACTTACAGAAGCTGTACCTAGAACCTAGGCAACCTGCTGTTGTGCAGCAAAGCCAGCAGCCAGCGGCTGGAAGGGGGGGCAGTGTCAGGCAGGCTTGCGAAGGGTTCCCACTCAGGTGTGGTGCAGTTGGTGAGCATGAGAAACCATCTGACCGCTTATCAAGTCGGCAGCACACAAGAAAACCCTATTCACACTCTAATACGGCTGGGCTTGGTCTCACCATGCAGCCCAGGTTAGTCTCACATTCACTGTGTAGACCACACTGGTTTGGAACTTGCAGTTTCTTCAAGAACTCAAAAGTAATATCAAACAACAAAGACACATCCAACTGTAAGGATAAGAAAATGACATTTAATCTTACAGTGGATTTTTCAGATAAAACCTAAAAATTAGACAACTCAAATATATCTAAATTATTGTTCACAAATTATTCGTGTAACAAAAAAGTTAGTTTAATTCAGGGTACAAAGGAGGAAGTGACTGTGAAAGACACAGTTGTTTCTGCATCTAGGAGCTTAGATCCAGTAGGGGAAGTAGGGGCCCACACAGACAGAAACACACTGCCGCCAGAATCTCAGCCGCACGCAGCATCCTTGGCCACATGGCACATTTGAGGCCAACCTGGACTACATGAGAGTCTGTTTCAAACAGATCAATATCAGTAAATATTTACAGCTGGGATAGGCAAATAATATAAACCTGTTTATCTTAGCAATTGGGAGACAAAGGCGGGAGAATTGCTTCAAGCTCCAGGTCACCTTTGTCTTTACAGCGAGTTCTGGATAGGTAGGAATGAAACCCTGTTTTAAAGAGGGAAAGCAAGGCAAGCAAAATGGACCAGTGAATAAGAGCAATTGTTGCCAAGCCCAGCAACCTGAGTTTGATCCCCAGAATCCACATGGTGGAAGGAGACCACCACACCCCACACACAAATAAATAAATAAGTCAATGAGAAAAAAAAATAGAAATAAAGGGAAAAAACAATTTTAGCGATAATATCCATAAACCTGGACGCAAATGAGAGTTTATTGGGCAGACAAACCAATCTTGCTGACTTTTGGACACACTAGTTGAAAAATGGGCTTTCAAAATGAAATATCTATGAAAATGTCATATGAAGCCTATTATTTTGTAAGCTAGTTTTTAAAACAAACTAATAATTTTTAAACGAGGTTTTGAGAGTTCAGACTTCAATCATGAGCAACAATTAGTCCGGCGAGAGCAAAGGGACATGACAGATGGATGCGCAGAGGCCCAAAGCTAAGATTATCACACACCCGCAAACGCGCAAAGTCATGCGTGGCCTTGGAAAATTATATCCCAGCCCCAAACTGTACTGAAGACTTACTAAAAGACAGCTGAGTTGTGCTCCACCTCTTTCTTTCTAGAAGAAATCGTGTTCTACACTAAAAGCTTCTGTACTTTCTCAACGTATCTACTGCAAGCACCTCCCAGCCTCCCTCCCCCCATCCCGTGTCCATTTCCGCCTTCACTTACTCGGCACAAACCAGGCAAGGTGGTTTTCTTTCCTCAAGTAAAACGAAACCACTCCTTCCTAAGCTTGAAATCCTCTAATGACTCCTCAGGATACTAAAAATAAAATGAATTCTAGGTCACCACATTCTATGACCTTACTAACCCATTACCTATCAGTCTGCCATTCCCCTGCTGTGGTGCTGTTTGGGGAGGAGACGGAACCTTTGGGGTGGAGCCTTACTGGAAGAAGGAAGTCATGGGGGAAGGGGCGGGTTTTGAGGATTTAAAGCCTCACTCCACTTCCAGTTCAGGTATTCTCTTTACTGCACACAGTTGAAGGCACAGTCTCTCAGCTTCTGCCACATCAATTAGAATTTAAACTTATTTTCAACATAAGGATAATAGTTATTGCATTCAAAGTTCTGAAATGAATCTCAAACATCAAGAATTCTTTACTGATTCTAGAAGAACTTTACATAAGCAATTAAATAGTGACTGAATATATAATATGTATCCATGCCTATACGTATCTGTGTAACTGTATACATCTGTATACAAACATGATTACACACATAAAATAAAAAGACAGCAGAAAGTTTCTAAATAATGCCTAAATTGACATTGGCAGATATAGAACACACACA